AATCATGGGGATGGTGCAGGAGCAGGCAGCATTTCATCCTGTTGTCCTTAGGGTCACCTGAGTTTAGGGATGACTGGACACCAGCTAACAGCAACATTCATCTAACAGACTTGTTGGGAGAATTAGATTCAGGCAGGTAGCTGGAATGTCAGGCTCCAAGAGAGCAGAGGCACCTCCCCTTCAGTGATCTCATCCTTGCCAAACAAATACTTCCTTTCTCACCCATCCTGGAGCTTCAGGCTCTGCAGGGCTGACCTCTTGGGTGTTTGGTCTACAGAGTCCTAGTGGCAAGGGTCACTGGTCCCACCCCACATCAGGAGCTGCATCTCTTCTCCTCCTTATGCTGAGCCAGACCCAAGACTATTTACCAGGTCCTGTCCTGTCAGAAGGTAATTGTCGCCTTCGTATAAGTGTTGAGGTGCTGCACTCGCAGAATGGGGCACGCTCCTGTCCCTGCCGGCTTCCTGATGTAAGCAAACAAGGGGTCTGGAGGGAATTGGGCAGGCCATCTAGGCAAGCCCTCCACCTCCAGCCGGAACCAGCCTAATCCCCAGCCTGGAGATGTGGTGTCCGGGCCCTCAGTGAGGGAGACTTGAGAATCAGTGGCGAGCTGGGGAGACTGGTCGCAGCAGGTGGTTACGTGGCAGGGGATGAAATGGAGCCGTGTGCACGGGGCACCTGGGCGAGGATGGCAAAGCCTTCCCTGAACCACCAGCCAGTCATCTGGACAGAAGGTATGAAGGCCTGGAGGTGAACCGTATGGAGGCCGAAAGGAAAAGTAAGAAAGAAATTGAGCTGCATACAGACCTTGACCAGGACCTGAATCTTCCCTTCATTGAAATGGGAGAATAATGGCTGTTCTCAAGAGTAGGTTGAGGTCATGGTTGGACTTTGGGGACCCCAGGAGATCCATGATTCACAATAAGAAGGCCCTTTCATGGGATTTGGGAAGGAGCAAAGGACCAGGAACGACTGCTCTTCACTCTGCGGAGACCCCCCCAGCCTTCATCTCCCCTCTCCGCCTTCTGTGCTGGCCCTGAGCTGAACGCCGGGTACACTGAGAGGGACCAGGTCCCGTGGCTGTGTTGGCAGAGGCGCACCATACCTGGAGCTAAAGTTAGAAAACCTCTCTGGGGAGAAGGTAGGGGGTGGATTTCTGGGGTCAGATGTGGGCAGAGACCAGGGAGTGAGACTGAGGCTGTGCGGCTGCACTGCCCCTCTGCCATGCTGCGAGTGTCCCTGCCCCTCCATGTCTTCACACCAGCCCAGAAGTCCCTTGAGGCCCAGGGCTGTGTCTTCCTTCTCTGTCCCCCAGCACCTCCTAGGATGCCTCAAATATAACAAGCTCTCATTACGCTCTTTTAATGAAACGTAATTACACTGGATTATCCAAGGCCAATTTTAGCCGTGAATCGCTGTCCTCGTGCTGCCTGCGACAGTTTGAGGCCACCACATCCTAGCCTCTAAGGCAGTGGGCACTCGGGAATGCAGCCTGATTTTCTATTAACCTGCAGGGACTCGAACCCGGAAGGGTAATGCTGCTATTTTTGGAGAACCGTAGACTGTGCTCTCACTTCAAATACAAAAGCTCTTTTGTGTCCTACCTACCATTGTTCCCAAGCTCTCACATGAAAATGGGAATTCAAGGGCATACATAATAATAATAATAATAATAGCCAGCATTTAGTGAGACTGATTATGTGCCAGGCAGTATTCTAAATGTTAGACTCAACAGTTCATTGAATGCTCCCAGCAATTCTTTGTTGCTGCCCCTCTTGGAACACAGGAGGATACCAAGGCTCAGAGGGGATAAGCAGCTTGCCCGAGATCACACAGCTAGTAAGTGGTGGAACTGGGATTTGAACTGAGGTAGCCCCACTCCAGAGCCCACAGTCGTAACTGCTGTGCTAGAGGAGCCCAGAGCAAGGCGGTGAGAATTCGTGAGGGGTAATGTCAAAGGCCACCACCCATCTGTCATTTTGTCATAGTAGGATGGTTTGCATGTTGCTATGGTGCTGGAAACTATGCCACTGATATTTCAAATACCAGCAGGATCACCTGCGGTGGACAAGTTTCAGCAAAGCTTCCAGACTAAGATAGGCTAGGAAGAAAGGCCTAGTGATCTGTTTCCAAAAAGTAGCCCATGAAAACCCTATGGATCACAACAGAACATTGTCCAGCTCTCTTGCTTTGGACATGTCATCAGGAGGGATCAGTCGCTAGAGGAGGACATCATGGTTGGTGAAGTAGAGGGCCAGCGAGGGCAAGGGCAACCCTCGGTGAGATGGATTGGCACCGTAGCCACAGCAATGGCCTTGAACGTGCCAGCCATCGTGGGGATGGGGCAGGCCGAGCAGCATTTCATCCTGTTGTATATGGGGTCGCGTGGGTTGGAGCCATGTCTGTGGTAGCCTTTGCTATCTAATGTCAGAGGAACTCTGGGAGAGAGGACTTTTAGTGACTCCTACAATGAATGGAGAACTTTTCAGGCCTTCTGTGCACTGGACTGGAGAACCGGTTCCCAAGGGTAAGACAAGAATAAAAAATCTGACAACCAAGTCAGGGAGGCGTAGCTTGGGACACCTTGCCTGGGCCCACCTCCCAGGGCCCATCATTCCCTTTTGCTACATTTGGGTTCAGCACACACCAGATGCAGCCTCCTGGCCGCCCCCACCCCACCCGTGTCCCTGGGATCGTAACTCCTCAGGGACCCTGGCACCAGGATGGAATCCCCGCCATGCCAGACGCCCTGCCAGTTCCTCTTCCCCCATCTTAAAGCCCCAGTTCCCCCAATCAGGCCGCTTCCCTGCCTCGCCAGCTGAGAACGCATGTGTTTTAAAGCTCTGAATGGGCCATTTCGGCTCGGAGTCCAGATGCATTTTTATATCCAAATGGAAAAAAACGCAGCGGCTCTGCTGGCAGTCAGAAGGAGTTTTTAAAATTAAGGTTAAAAAAAAAAAGAAAGAAAGAAAAAGTTTCCTGCACCTGGCCCTTCTGGGAAAAGCACAGAAGAGAACAAAGCATGTCTTTCATTTGGCCACATGTCTGGTTGTTAAAAGCTGCGGGCCCCACCCGACACCCTCACTAGCTCTTCAGAATTGGTTGTTTGAATATCCACTATGTGCCTGCCGCTGCGCTCATTGCGTTTAAGTCACACATGAGCCCCATTTGACAGATGAGGAAACCGAGTCTCAAAGGGGGGCAGATGACTTACCCAAGGTCGCGCTGCAGTTGAGGGCCAGAGGTGGATCGATTTCAGTCTGGAACCACCCTGTTAGTGCCTCCTTAAAGGCACAGAGAAGCCAAAGGGACACATCCCACTCCTCAGACCAGGTGGTGCTTTCTGCCACCCAGGAGTGGAGGGAAAAGCTCCATGTAGCCAGTGCTGCTCTCCAGTGCTAACCAGTGCCTGACGCCTAAAAAACCAATTGCTGTCAAGTCAGTTCCCACTCATGGCAACCTCGTGTATGTCGGAGTGGAACTGTGCTCATAGGGTTTCCAATGGCTGATTTTTCAGAAGTAGATTGCCAAGACTTTCTTTCTGAGGTGCATCTGGGTGGATTCGAGCCTCCAACCTTTCAGTTAGCAGCTAAGCACATTAACCATTTGTACTACCTAGGGACTCCTGCTTTTGTTGTTCTTAGGTGCCACCGTGTCTGTTTTTGACTCATAGCGATACAACATGACAAAGTAGAACTGCCCCATAGGGTCTTCTAGGCTGCAGTCGTTACAGGAGCAGATCGCCAGGTCTTTTCTTCCACGGATCCTCTGGGTGGGTTCCAACTGCCAACCTTTCAGTTAGCAGCCAGGCACTTAACCTTTGCACCACCAAGACTCCTGAAGCCCTCCTTAAGCCCACTTCTTTCCTGAGTCCTGTCCACTGAGAGAATGAAGTTGTAAACATGCTAAGTCTGCAGCAACAACAGGAAAACTATAAGCACTAGTGTTCATTAAGAGAGCTCATCACGTGCCCCGCACTGCTCTGTCTGAGCTCTGTGTGTGCTGACTCTTCGTCGTCTCTACAACCCTCGGACTAGAATACTATTGGTTGTTCTACTTTATAGATGAGAAAGCTGAGGCCAGGAGAAGCAGCTCTGGGTAGACTCGAACCTCCACTCCTTTGGTTAGCGGCCAGTTGCATTAATCCTTTGTTTGTACCACCAGGAACTCTGGCAAAAGGATACAGGGTTTCTTTTGGGGGTGACAAAAATGTTCTAAAATTGATTGTGGCATTGGGTGAGCAACTCTGAATAGTCTGAAAACCACTGAACAGTGCACTTTAAATGGGTGAATCGTATGCTGTGTGAATTCTCTTTCAGTAGTTTAAAAAATTACAAAAAAACAGAACATAAAGAGGGAATGAGGTAAAGAGTGCAGAGCTGGGGGACAGTGAAGGATGAGATGGAACAGCACGTGCCTCGCTTCCGAGGGAGGGAGGAAGCCAGCAGCCGAGAGAGAAGACAAGGAGGCCGGTGAGGCTGAGGGACGGCCTGGCCCAGGGCGGCAGCAGTGGAAGCAGAGAGAAGGGGACAGGAGAGAGACGGGGGACAGAATCACCAAGGCCAGAGAAGGAGATGCCACCGAGTGAAAATGAGGGTCTCGTGGTTGTCATCGGGTGGCTCGACTTTCTCACGCGGCCACGGCCGCTGACAGCCAGGGGGAGGTGCGCCCTGCTAATGGGGTCACCCTGCTCAGATAGGCTTCAGCGGGGGGAGTTAGATGCCCGCCTGGGCCCAGGCGCCAATTACAGACCCGGCCGGCGGCTCTATTGACTGCCTAGTCACTCGCAGCTCTCTCCCTGGGAAATAACCCACTAATTAAATAGATGCGCCCAGTGGCTCCTTCGCCCTCGGCGGAGATCAGATGTCACCAGGGCCAGTACCTGGCTCTTGAGTCTGGATGCCAGCAGGCTGGAGGGAGGGCAGGGTGGCTTTTTGCAGGTTCAGTTTTAGCTGATATGCTGTTTTGTTTTTCACCCCCCACCCCCGTGTCCCCCACAGAGAGCCTTCAACGCCTTGTGCCACAGCACCCACCTTTACGGCCGGAGGCTGGTCCTGGAGTGGGCGGACTCCGAGGTGACCGTACAGGTCCTGCGGCGGAAGACAGCTGAACACTTTCACGGTAAGTGTGGGTGGCTCCTGCCTGGCACAGCCCTCCTCACAGTGGAGCTAGCCCATCTTGGAATCATCCGAGGGGTGATTCATGGGCCCCCGGGAAGGCCAGAAAAGGCAGTTGGGGCCACCAGGAGAACGTTGCTCAACTTGAAGGGCTATGGGAGCCCTGTGCTGGGTGGCCCTGGCCTACATCTATAGGTCGAAGCCCTGCTCCGAGCCCAGAGGCTGACCTGTGTGGACAGCATCTGGGGGGTCCCTGCCCTCTGGCTGTAGGCTTGGCTGGGTCCCGAGGGTGGAGGTAGACAAAGTTGGAGAGGTGGGCAAGGCTGGATCCTGAGGGTGGTCTGAGAATCAGGTGGGGAGAGCTGAGATAAAGCCCTGCAAGCTGCTCAGTGCTGGGCACGCAAAAGGGATGTCCTTCACTTTCCAAATGTTTGCCCCCCCCAAACTGGGGATATGCAGGGATACTTGAACTTGAATCACGTCTCCCAGCCCTTCCCACCCGTCCGCCCACTGCCTGGTACTGTGCCATCCCAATGATCAGTTGCAGCTTGGACCAGTGTGATCCATAGGGTTTTTATTGGCTGATTTTTGGAAGCAGATTGCCAGGCCATTCTTCCTAGTCCATTTTAGTCTGGAAGCTCCACTGAAACCTGTTCAGCATCATAGCAACACAATAGCCTCAACTGGCAGAGGAGAGGTGGCTGCACTTGAGGTGCACTGGCTGGGAATTGAACCCAGGTCACCCACGTGGAAAGCGAGAATTCTACCATTGAGCCATCACTGCTTGGGGCTCCCAACAGGCAGTATTTCCAGGCACAGCTGAGCGTGGCAAGACTGTACCCCAAGAGCATGCTCAGTGCTCCAGGACTCCCTCCAGAGGCAGGGTGGAAGCCCGCTGGCTTTTGCTCGGCTTCCCAAAGCCTTCAGAATGACCCCCACCCACCTGGTGTTCTTTCCAGCCTAGTCCCTCCTCTCCACAGGGCTCACTGTTCCCCAGATTCCAGGCAGGACTCAGTGTCTTTGCATATACTGTTTCTTCTGCTGGGAATGCCTCACTTTCCCTTTTTCTTTTTTTAATAGACTTTCTCTTATAGAGTAATTTTAGGTTTACAGAAAAATTGAGCAGAAAGTACAGAGAGTCCCCATGTACCTCCTCTCTCTCCTGTAACTGTTTCTCCAGTTGTTAACGTGTTATATTCCTGTGATACATTTGTTACAAGGGACAAACCAATGTAGATACATTATTAGTAGCTAAGTCCATTGTTTACATTGGGGTTCACTGTGTTGTACAGCCTCTGGGTTTTGACTTGTGTGTAATGTCACGTGTCCACCATTACAGTGTCATACAGAATAGTTTCACCACCCTAAAAATGCCTTCTCAGTTTTTTTTAACTTGGCGAATGCCTATCTAGCCTTCAAGACCCACCTCAAATGGTACCTTCTCCAGGAAGCCATCCGAGCTCTGCTCTCCTGCCTCTGTATACATTTTTGCTGCATTGTAGTTATCATATAGGACATATCCCTCCTCCAGCATACAGACTCTGCGTAAGGCTCGTCTTTGTCAGCAATCACTCAGTCTCTGGGCTGGGTCCTCTACCAGGCAGTGTCAGGCACGTGTCAAGCCCTCAGGTACAAGCGAAGGCGGATCTGAAACCAGAGCTTGAATATACAGTCACAAGCTCACAACTCCAGGGCCTGGATACAGTCGTAAGCTCACAACTCAATAAGTCCCTAAATCCTGACACTCAGAAAAAGAACCTGCCCTTATCGACAGCCATTGACAGGCCCAAATGCGCTCATCAGCAAATGTTTGTGTAAGGGACTGTCCCTGGAGCCAGGCAGGAACCCAGCTCCCAGCCTTCCCCACGCCCGCCCCGGCCAGCGGAGGAGCGCAGACCCAGCAGTTCTGCCCTGCCTTGGAGAGAAACCCCTTCAATAAACTGAGTTCCAGAGACAGCATTAGCACCTCCCCCAGCGGAAAGACTCACTGGAAGCGTTTCTGTGGAATTGGCTGTCTCCACGGCCACTTTCTAGCTGCAGGGCAAGGCCCAGACAGGGGCAGACACCATACTAACTTATTTGCACCCGCTTGTATACATCTTTCTGCTAATCCCCAGCAGCCCTCTGAGATGGGCATGGTTAGCCCATTTGACAGGTGAGGGAATTGAGGCCAACCAAGTATAAGTAACTTATGACAGCTACTGTTGGGCCAGTACTTACCGTGCGCCAGGCGCCACCCTTGGCATGTGACACGTGTTGTCTCATGTATCCTTACAGCAACCCTAACTGCTCTAGGCATGCAGCCCTTCTACAGATTTTTCAGATGAAACTGAGGCGCCCACACTCAGGCTGACGACTTGCTGCAGTGAGGGATAAGTGAGAGAATGCACGTAGCATATCTGACACAGAGCAGGTGCTCTGGAGAAGTCACCCCCATCTACCCATCCACCCGCCCCATTGTCTGTCTGTGTGACATGCGAGTTGCCTACAGGCCGCCCCAACTATTGGGAACAGGCTGCTGGCCTCCTGCCTTGATGGTTGAACCCTCTCCCACCTCTGTGCCACTTCCCCACGGTGAAAAATACCCAGCTCGTTTGTATAGAAATCCGCATTATCCAGCACTGCCAGGGCCCTGGCAGACTCCAGGGCAGGTGGGCTTCATGCCCATCTCCTTCCCCCACCTCTGGCCTTGGCCCTGAACTCTGCCAGCAAGGCACTTAGGTCTCGTGTGGGGGCCAAGGCTGCAACAAAGGGCTCCCTGTGGAATGTGGGCCACAGAATGAAAGGCAGGCGTTTTAACCATTCAACAAGGTTTGGCAGGAAGCTAGCTGGTGACCTGTGGCCTTGGAGCCACCCTCTGGGACAGTGGGAGGTGGCAGAGCAGACAGAGCAGAGCTTTGGCACCAGCTAGTGCCCTCATCGTCCTGAGCTTGCTCCCGCCCTTGGGACTCGACTGGCCGCCAACCTGAGAGAGGTTGCCGAGACAGGATGCCAGTGGGCCAGAGTTTCCTGGCCCCGATGACCAGCCTTCTCTCCTCCTGTTCTCTTCCCAGTTCCCAGGTCCCTGTTGAGCCTAGGTCAAGGTTGAGAGTAGATAATACTAATTATTATTATTATCATTCTAACAACCTTCATCTGGTAAGCCATACTCCATGCCAGGTCTTACGCACAGTCTTTCATGTGTAGTAGTCAATCCCACAGAATCCTATCATTCTCCTCCGTTTTACAGATGAGGAAACTGAGGCACAGAGAGGGCAAGTCACTGGCCAAAGGGCACCCAGCTACTGAGTGGCAGAGTCAGGATTCAAACCTGTGCTTTTAACCATCCTCCTGTACTGGCTGCTTGTAACAGCTGGTGTATGCAGCTACCCCTTAAGTTTCCCCAGTGTGTGTACCCTCAGGCCAGTTCTACGACCTGGGCAAGTGACTCAACCTCAGCTTTGTCATCTGTAAAATGGGACTGTGGTGCCTACCACATCTGGGGAATTGTTAGATGATGCAAATAAAGTTATAGCCCATCTCCTGGCATGTAGTGAGCATTTGACAAACACTGTTATTTGTTTATCACCGTTATTATTATTATTCTCCCTTGCCCCCTTCAAGCCACTCATTCTTCTTTTTCTGGGCTGCCTAGGAAACTTCGCATTATCCCTGCATTCTGGTCAAGTCAGGCTAAGAGATGATGCTCTCTGCCCAGAGGAATGAGACAGAAAGAAGAGCCTGGCTTGTATAAGCCTGGGCAGTAACATGTTTACGCGTCTGTCTGTCTTTCTGTCTGTGTGGGTGTGTGTGCACACGCAAGAGGGAGAGAGCAAGGAGAATCAGAGTGAATATACCTGACCCATAGGAGAGACTCAGAATAGGGTGCTTCCTCTGAATCTAGATACCACATGGTCTGAGGTACATAGCACAGTGCCCGGCACACAACCAAACCAACCAAACCCATGGCCGTTGATTCTGACTCATGGAAACCCCATGTGCATCAGAGTAGAACTGCTGCTGTAATCTTTATGGAAGCAGAGCACCAGGCCTTTCTTCTGCAGCCCAACTGAGAGGGTCGAACCACCAACCTTTTGATTAGTACCATATTTTTACACAAATAACGCATTTATTTGCCAACTGCACCCTCCTAAGGTATTTTCTTAAGTGCCATTGTGCCAATTTTCTTTTACATGTTGCTGTAAAAAAAAAAAAAAATTAGCATGGCACGCTTACAAAAATACCTTGCAGAGGGGAGGGCAAGGTTGGCAAACAAATGTAGAAGACGCACATTATTTGCATAAAAATATGATGGTTGAGCGTAAGCCGTTTGCTCTACCCAGGCGCCTAGACCAGCTGAGTTGATTCCGACTCATGGCAACCTCATGTGTGCAGAACAGAACTGTGTTCCATCAGGTTTTCAAAGCTGTGACTTTTTGAAAGCAGATTGCCAGGCCTTTCTTTCGAGGCGCTTCTGAGTGGGTTCAGACTACCAACCTTGCCGTTAGCAGTAGAATCCCTAACCTCCCGCACCACCCAGGGACTCCTGCCTAGCACATAGTAGGAGCTTATTGGTGCACAGTAGCAACCGTGATGATGATGATGATTCCTCAATGGTAAACTGAGGCTGTTGTGAGAACTAGGTGTCCTCAGGGCCAGTATGGTCCTTGCCACTTATCTAGGTTTCCTTACGGGCTTAACGTCCCCCGGTCCCTCCCTCACAATGGAAGCTTCTCTTTTATCTACTGCCCGCATGTATTTTCCCTTATAAGTTGATGCTTACAAAATACCTGCCCAGTTGAGCAGCAAAAGGCAGTTATTGGAGTAGTAGTCCTCAGTAGGCAAAGACCGTGAACCAGACAGAGTTCCTTTCGAAAGGGACAAACAAGACAGACATCTCCATAAAATCACCCTCCTGCCTCTGCCCTGTCCCCTCCCAGCCCTTCTCCTCCTTCCCTCCCTCCCTGGACAAGAATAGGATTTCTCATCTCCGACCTGAAGCCCGAGAGTAGGTAAAGTGCCATT